AAACCTCTCAATTAAGTCCAATCCGCTATTTTATCTTCAATCCGTCATCTTCCAAACGGGGCCATATTCTGTTATAGCATATTTGTTAGCAGATTTAATGTTCATGCAATATTCTATTAGCATATTTATAGCGATTTATTTTATACATACCAATTTATTTACACTCAAACTATTTTAATTTATCATGATCCACTTTTTATGGTAGATGTTGGGTATTTTATCTTCATAGCAACATATTATAAAAAATCAGTGATATTGTCAAATCATTTTATTTAGATTCTTGGATCCTTTGTTGTTGTATACATTTTCAATTAATTTAAAATCAAACCTTTTCATAAAATCTCGGTTTTTATGAAAATGATTTTCTCGACTAATATTTTTTTATATCTACCAGATTTTATAAAATTACTTATTAAATATAAAATTCGTTTTATCAAATCATTTTATAAAATCACGGTTTGTATGAAAATAATTTTGTTGAGTGTAATTTTTTCTATCTATCAGATTTTATAAATTATTGATTAAAATTGAAATCACATTTTACAAATGGGCAATATATATTTTTTTATTTTTATTTACAAACAAACTTTAAATCATCAATGGTAGTAGACATGTTATATTCACAATTTGAAATTTTATAGTTTTTTTTTATATATATAAATAAGATATAAAAGTGCAATATAAACAACTACAACATTCTCAGTCTTTCCAATAAAAAACGTAATAAACAACGGGTGAAAAAAATACGCAATTTTGATGATACACAATTAGCATTCACGTGAAAAAAATATGCAATATGAATAAAAATCACCATTAGCGTTCAATGGTATTAGACATGTAATATTCACCATTTAAAATTTTATCGTTTTTTTTATTAAAAATATGATATAAAAGTGCAATATAAACAACTACAACATTCTCAGTCTTTCAAATAAAAAACGTAATAAACAACGCGTGAAAAATACACAATTTTGATGATACACAATTAGCATTCACGTGAAAAAAATATACAATATGAATAAAAATCACCATTAGCATTCGATGTAATTTTATTTCCATATTATATGTTATTAAAACGATTGATATGCTTATAAGTATCATATCAACCTCACACAAAAAAATCACCATTGACGAACATACGAGTAATTAGTGAATCCATAATAAGTGTCAAACAAAAAATAGATCAACCTTTCGGTCTTATCGATGAAGTTGAGCGAGGAAAGAGAGTTATGTTGCAACTTCGAGTGGTTCGCGTGTTTGAGAGTAAATTTCCTAATTCTTATCATAACATCATAAAAAATTTTCCTAATATTGAGTTATAATATTGTTTATTGTTTCTTTTATCTTTTCACTTTCCTTTCGTTATTTTTTTTTT